GAATTCTTATAATTTGACTCCAATTTAAAAGGAACATTATTAGAAATTTTACATGTCACCATCCCATTTTTACCTCCATCTTTATCAAATACTGAAACAAGAGCAATGGCTGTGTCAACTGATGCGTCCTCTTTAACAGTGTTCAATAGTGATGTGACTGAAATTTCAGGTGCGTTGTCATTAACGTCTAATACTTCAACCAGTAATTTGGCATGTGAACTCATGGGCGAGGCTGCTCTGTCACTGGCTTGTACTCGAAGTTCAAAAGCATTATTTTCTTCAAAATCAATATTCCTTTTGCTCGTTACAGTTCCTGTTTGTTTGTTTATAGAAAACACATTTGTTTTTTTCCCCTGACTGACTTTGCTGAATAAATAAATCACTTTTCCATTTTGTCCTTCATCTAAATCAGTGGCATTTAGTGTAATTATTGGTGTGCCTATTTTAACATTTTCGTAGACTCTGGCTTTATACAACCTTTGGCTGAAAATCGGAGGGTTGTCATTAATATCTAACACATTGATTATTATAGTCATGCTTCCGGATTTAGTAGGTGTTCCTCCATCGATGGCAGTCAGTGTGAGCTTAATCATAGACTGTTTTTCTCTGTCTAAAACTGTCTGAAGCACCAACTCAGGAGTTACACCCTCTTCTTTATGTGTAGTCAATGAAAAATATTCATTTTGACTCAGCTTGTAGGTATTTACGGAATTTTTTCCCCTGTCTGCATCGTTTGCTTGATGCAGAGGAAATTTTGTTCCTGCTGCTGTGTTCTCAGTTATGTTGATTTCTTGTGACGTGCTTTCAAATGAAGGTGAATTATCGTTGACATCTAATATTATCATTTCAATACGGTACAGTTTCAGTGGGTTATTAATAACAGCTTCTACACTGAGTGAGCATTTGGGCTCATCACCGCAAAGCTCCTCTCGATCTATTCTCTCGTTAACATAGAGGGCTCCAGTTTTTAGATTTACCTCGAAATATTTCCTCTTTGATCCAGCAACGATCTGAAACATGCGGGGCTCCAAATCCTGGATACTAATGCTCAAATCTTTCGCGACATTTCCGACAACAGTCCCCAGATTCACCTCCTCTGAGACGGAGTAAGAGAGCTGCCCAGAAACCTTTTCCCAGTAACAATCCAGCAGCACGAAGACGAGATATATCCACACACAGCTCGATCTGCCCGGTCCAGTCATAATTATGTTCAACAAGAAAAAGCATAAAAATTGACACGGTGTGTACCGGCATAAACAGAAAAAAAATCAATAGGTCTATGGCAGAATATCAGCGTTTCTCGTACCGTTCTCTTTCGCCCTCTGATTCTCTTTGTCTGAATCGGCTGATAAACATAATCGTCATTTGAATCTGGGAGGAGCCCCGAGGCATTCAAAGAGGAAGCTTAAATGGAAAAGTCTGCAATGTCCCCGTGTGGACATTTGCGAGAACTACACACATTATCAAACGTCTTAATACACTTGACCCTCATAAACGAACAGTCAAATATTAACCCCAGTGTAAGACGTTGCCATCATGATTATGTATGCCATTCTGGTATTCTGTGTTTTTATGAATACTATTTCTGTTG